CTTAGCTAATGTCCAGGGCCACTGAGAGTATGTTTGGGCCCTAGTAAGAAGTGTTGAGGCTCCCCAGCAAGGTCAGTCTGTCTAAAAATCTTTACCTGGGATTTAAATTCAGGATCCAAGTCTCTTTCCAGACCACAGGTCCAGCTGTTGGTCCCAGCCCTCCCCTCTTCTTCAGGATCATTCTCACTTTTGTTGGCTCTCCCCCTACACCTGACCCCATCTGCCTTGTCTCGTAAGTGACCTTTGAAACTTGGGCCACACAGATATCTGCTCCATCAGCAGAGCCAACTACTGCTCTTCTTGTTGGGTTTCAGGCCAACAGGAGAATGTTCCAGGATGCTCTCATGGGGCCCTTGTGGTGTTCGCTATGTGGGCTCGGGAAGGGCTTTGGAGTAAGGAAGGAGAACTCGAATGGAGCAAGGCACCGGGAGCTGGTGAGGAGGACAGAGAACAGTGGGTTTTCCCAGAGGCAGGGGTGACTCGTTTCTCTTGAGCTGTGTTCTTTTTGGATGAAAGGGAGGAAGGTCTGGGCTCTTGGGCAAGCAGGGAACAGAAAATCTTTACAAGTGCCCACTATGTACCATGCTTCTAGGGTGAGCAAAAAGATGCATACTCCCTCCACTCGGTGAACCTTCCTTCTGGCCCCATTTTCCAGCTTACCAGCTGGAGGTCCTCTCCTTGCTGCGGGTAGAGGAGAAAAGGAGGGCAGGCAGTTTGGTGAGCACTGGCCTTCATGTTGCTTCCTCAGCAAGCAGGCCTTCCAGCCGCAGGTAGACAAGGACTCTGAGTGTTAACGCTCTTCTTACTCTGCTGATAAGGTTTAGCCTGGTGGGAAGTGATTAGGGTTGGGGGTACTGTACTGTCCAAGGATGGAACGATATGCATATGCAGTACAGGTCTCTCCATGAGCTGAATCTCTGGGTCTCCATCCTCCTTCCAGCTGCCCTTGGCCCTTACTCTTCCTGACATAAACCCTTGACTCCAACCAAGAAAACCTTCTCTCTGGGCTCTCAGTATCCTCCCCCTTGTCACCCTGTTTTCTTCTGATAGACGGAGCAGCAATCTGCTTACGCTTGCTTGGATGTTTCTAGATATATGTTTCAGGTATGTTGACAGGGACTGCTCGCTTCTTTCCTGTTTTTCCACTGACAGACAGACCTTCACACTCTCTTAGTAGCTCTCAGAATGGGCCACACAGGAGCCACCATCTCTAGGCGGACGACCCTGACTCAGTGGGGACAGAGACACCTGCTCCAATCAGCATTTTAGACAACAGGCTAAAAAGCACATCTAATGATTGTCTGTCCTTCAGCCTCCAGTCATTATGACACCGTGGAGCTCAAGTGACCCAAGATTTGTTTTATGCTTAAAGGATGAGAGCAGAGAAAAGGAGACTTCACTGGGCTGCTGAAGTGGAACCAAAGGAGAGATAGAAGGAAGAAAATATGGGAGAGAAAAAGAGTTTGAGGGGAGAGAAGAAAGGGGGAAGAGAGAAGGAAGAACAAAGAGAAGGGGGAAGGTAGGGAGGAAGAGAAAGTAGAAGAGGAAGATGAGGGACGAAGGAAGAGAGGAGAGGACAGGAGCTACTGAGCCTTTCAGACTTCCTGACTACTTGGAGGTGGGGGGTTTGGAGTAGGAGCTGAATTTGAATTATAATTCAAGAATCTTATCCAGCCTCCGGTAATCCCCTGCCTCGGGCTGGAGAACATGGGCCGTAAATGCATGGCTGGCTGGGTGGGCATACGTGTTCAGACAGAGAAGCTGTGGTCCCAGGGAAGCCAGTAGCCTCTTGTAGGGTCATGTGCTTCCACGGCACGAAGTAGGCTTTGCCAGATCAGGCTGAGGCTCTGACTCCAGCCAGGAAAGGGATAATCAATTCTGTAGATGCTGTGAGCCTTGATTGAAAAAATAAAGAGGAGGAAGCTAGATAGCTGCTTTCATTAAGAGGCAAAAGCAGTGGGGGCTGGAGCTTAGCAAGAGCCAGGAAGCACGCAGAGAAAGAACGTTAACCCCTCCAGCGTCTTTCTTCCGTGATATCTTTGCACTCACCCACTCCTTCATCGTCACTTCCTTGGCCTGACCTCTAAGGCCACCACCTTCCTATCGCCCTCAGCTGAAGAAGGGAGAGAGGCCAGGCTGCATAATAATGCAGATCTGATGACAATTAAATGATGCATTATTTCCCGGGCCCAGGTTCCCCGGGGCTCTTGCCTCTCCTGGATTTGGGCAGGAAGAGGAGCTCTGGGTACAAGAGACAAACTGTGTGGGAGGATAATGCGTCTAACACAGTGCCTCGCCCCATGTAACCCTCGCCCAACCCTCAGCAACCTCCCCCCGGCCGCATCTCTACTATAATGAGGCCAGAGAAGGGCAAGTAAAAAATGAGAAAGGATTTCAGTAAAATTATGATCGGAAGACCTCATCTGCCATGTCTTCTTCTTACTTCAGCGTGCCCAGTAGAGAACTGATTCAGCAGGGAGCTCCCCAGAAGAAACACCAAGGAAAGGGCTGCTGCCTCTATTGTTCCTCTCCTCACTTCCCCCTACCCATAAAGATCTCTGCCTGCTGGTCACATCCAGCCCTGCACTGCTGAGAGGTATGGGCAGAGGAGAATAGCCATACAAAATGGGGGTCGGGGTAGAATCCAGATGGGGCCAAATGTAATCGGCAACAGTGAGTCGTTACTGAGGTTCTGTGGGGGAAACTTGGGTTGAAGTTCAGCGAAACAGTGAGGAGGAACGAGTGGCACAAAAGGCACAAAAGGCATTCAGCCAGCCAAGATGTCCATGATTTCACATCCAAGGGGAGAGAGTGTTGCAGGGGGGAGGTAGGATGCTCTCTCTGTCTCTTGGTGTCCAGGCTTGGGGAGCAAGGGGGAAATACTGGAGGAGCTGGGGGAAGAAGGGGGCTACTTGGGGTATTAACCTCTTAGTGCCTGGCACAACTTCCTAGGTGAGAGATTTTTAACAACTTTCACTCTCCTCTACCATTCTAATTATTTCTTATTTTTGTTCTGCTCCTATGGGAAGCAAAAACAGGACAAAGGAGAAGGAAAGATGAAGACGCTATGGGCAGGAGAGTTGGGGCTCTTCAAGCTACTTTGGGGGCCACAACAAAGTCCTTTCCCGGAAAAAATGATCTTTCCTCAACCCTTTTTGCTCATAGTTCCCTGAAGAGATGCAGAGAATGTGGGGAAGAGAAAAGAGATACCAAAGGGCATGAGGAGAGGAAGCAGGTGAAGAATCATAATTATCAGGAAGCAACCCCCAGAAAAACAAATGAAATAGGTCTTCCCCCCCCCCCTACTTAGGGGAAAGCCACATAACACCTTGTAAGAACATTGTCTTGTTGAATCCTGGGCACTGAGGGAAACCTGACTTTCTGCTTTTTATGCCAGATAAGGAAAGAAAACTGAAATTGAAGGAAGGACAGATGGGCCATTGGGGGAGTTGGGGAAGAAGTCTGCATCTTTTGGGGGCTTGACTCAATTGCTATAGGTCTGCCAAGTCAGATCATCCTGGGTCTTCACCCCTAGGAGCCCATGGTTCCAGTCAAGTCTACTCTCTATGAGTTAACATATCCTTCCCCAACTTCTCTAACTACATAGATATGAGGAGAAAATGAGGTTTGAAGGAATACGCCAAATCCTCACAAGTATCTGCAGACTTGAAACATGCCGATGAGATGAGATTCTTGGCTCTCCTTCCTCCTCCCTCCTCCCCCACCCACCTCCTGTAACATCACCATTGTCAGTGTCAGGTGCTGACTAGGTACTGATTTCCCCTGAGCCATTCTTCCATGCAGTTCTCCCATCACCTGTATACTCAAGAGGAAGGAAGCTGATATGTCACAGCCTGCCCAATACAGAGGAGAGAACATTCCAGTCCTCTTTCATCTCTTCTTCCCATGTCCCTAGTTCATAGACATTGAAAGTAAAGAAAGAGCTTGAGGTCCTAGAGTCCCTCACTGGGGGCTAATGAGTATATTTCTCTCAGGACCCAACATGAGATTCCTAATATCATCAAATAACCAAGTGGAAACAAGAATGCAGTCACCAGCCATAAGAGAGAGATAATTAAACATCCAAATGCCAACAACTTCGTTTGCCGACTCTCTCTCTCATCGTTCCCCTTCCACAATTGCCAACCATCCTGCACAGAAATCCTCCTTGAGTCAGAGGGAAAGAGCTATAGCCAGATTGAGTCCTCATACTGTAACTGAGTCCTCCATTGGCTTGGTGTGTTGTGTCTTTGCACCCCTTTGGTTCTGTGGGGATTCAGAAGAAAGATGCCCACTCAGGTCAGCAGAGTAAGCTTTCCCAAAGAGCCACTCCTGGCTTTGATCTCACTGCATCAGTGAAAGAGCTAGACTCGTTCCCCTGGGAAATGCTTTCTCCCACCCTTTCTCTATCCCCAGCACCCCTGCCTTCTCACATCATTCTTTCTTTTCAGCCTTATCCCCTGCCTCCTAAATTTTCTCAGACCCCAATTCTACTCTTCCTGGACTCTAGTCCTTTTAAAGCTCTTAACATGCATCTTTGCCAAGCCTCTGTCTCTTTCCATTCAAATAATTTTACTACCCAAACTCCCTTCCAAATTCTTCTTAACTTAAAAAAAAAAAATCAGCTGTTCTTTTTTCTTTTTCAGTGTAATCTTCATCACAACTTCCTCCCGATCTTGTCCCCTTTAAAATCTGCCAGTTTCTGATATCCCCAATCACTTAAAAATCCACTTCTTCCCTTCTTTGCCCCTCCGTAAGGGTCTGGATTCTCTCTTTTGCTCCAACATCCCCTGAAACCTCTCAAACACTGCTATCAATCCCTCTTTCCCCCCAAATCTCCTTGACACACTTCTACCTACAAACATCTTCTCATCTCTTCACTTCAGGTTGTTCTAGTCCTTCAGACTCTTAGGGGATCCCAATTTCCCCCTTATCTCCTCCTTACACCCATTTGCTTCCCTTTCTATCACTAAAATCCGCCTCCCTTCTTCCCCACTCACTCGGGTCTCCTGCTCAGGACGCCCTTGCCGAGGGCGGCGGGGGATTTGTGCTGAAGGAGGGTTCCAGCGGCAGTGCAACAACTCGGGGGACGCTCCTTCTCTTTGTCGGCGACGGCCCCAGGCGCCGCTGGGTGCTGGTGGGGCGACTGAGGTGCGTGAGCTCTGCTGCTGGGGCCCGGCTGGGGCTGCGCCAGGAGCTGTCCGTGGTGCTGAAGCGGTGGCTGCTCCGGCGCGGGCTGCGGCGCTGCGGGCGAGATCTGTCCGTGGTTCTGGAGAGGTTCCTGGGCCCCGGCGGCGGCAGCGGCGGCAGCGGTGGCCGGGGTGGCAGGCAGCAGGGCTGGCGACGGAGGGATGAGCCCGGGCGGAGGCTGGGCTTGCAGCAGCTGCTGGTGCTCCCACAGGCTGCGGTTCTCGGCGCTTAGCTCGTCCAGCCGCCGCTCCAGCTCGTCGATGCGCTGGCGCTGGGTGTGGATGAGGCTCTGCTGGTTCTGCACGATGGCCGTGAGCTCCTTGAGGTAGAGCACGGCACGCACCGGGTTCTCCAGCAGGCTCTCCATGCCGCCCGCCGCCGCCTGCGCCCTGCCTGCGCCTCGGCTGGCGGCGGGGAGCGCGAGGACGCGCAGGAGCCGAGCAGCCCCAGCAATCCGCTCGCCTCCCTCTCCAGCGGGCCCAGCCTCCCTCCCCGCAGCCGCCGGCGCCGCGTCACCGCCACACAGACATTCACACACGCACCGAGGGGCGGGACCGCCGCGCCAGGGTCCACCCACCCACCCTCCCACCTCCAGGCTTCGTGAGGAGTCTCGGCTTCCTGCAGGGCTGACAGAGAAGGGAGATGAGCAGAGGGAGTGGATAGGGAAGCAGGATAAATGAAGGGGACCAGAGATAGATAAATCTGGAGACCAAAAGAAAGCGGGTGAGGTGGACTTAGCAGTACTGGGAGAGTGCCCTGGAATGGGTAGAAGAAGAAAAGCAGATAAGGAAAGAGGAAAAGAAGAGGAAGAGGCCGGGAGAATGAGGGAGGGAGGGGGAGAGAGAGAGAGAAGGTGGCAAAGGGAAGAGAAATAGATTTGAAATAAAGAAGTTTCAAATATATTTGAAAGATCGCATTCTTTTTCCTGGGTCCAACCATCCCAGAGGTTATGGGTCATCTTAAAGACCTTCTGAGGAGAGGCCACACTTGCCTCTTTTGTACTCAACAACCTATTCTGCTGGTGTATTCCCTGGGATACAAGGATCACAGAGTTATAAGGGACCCTAGAGAACATCTAGTCCTTCTTTATTCAGCCAAGAGGGAACTTAGAGTGGGAAATCTGTTTATAGTGGGTTTTCTCAGGAAATGAGACCTCAGGACAGTTTCAGCCACTCTAATATGAACATTAACTAAATAAACCAGGTCCTGTGTGTTGGGTCCGCCGCTCTGGGAATGCAGGAGAAACAATAGAAATTACCGCGGGGCCGCCATCTTCCAGGCACCCCCCCCCCCACCTTTCCTAACCCTTGACTCTCCCGCCATAAGGATGTATGCCCAGGTCATGTCTCCACAAGTAACTCGATACCTATGCAAGAAACCAGAACATCAGGACTCCCCCAACCCTCCAATCCCGAATACCGTACCTTATATGGCCATGAACCTATTCCCTCTCTTAACCTAGATAAAAGACCCACTCGACCCCCTCCCAGCGCGACTTCCTCTACTCCTCTTTCCAGAGTACCTCACCCGAGGATGCCCACCTCCTCCCGGTGCGACTTTTCTGGCTCCCCTTCTCCTGAGCCCTGAAACTTTGCTGGAGAGCGCCTTTAATAAATCTTGCCTTGTGCCTACCTCGCCTGGTGTCGTGTTTATCTCGCCTGTAAAACCTTACACTGTGTTTTGTGGCTCAGGCTTCCAGAAACTTCTGAAGAGATCGTTCTGTTTTAAAAAAAACCATTTATGCAGTGCATTCTCCTACAAACACTGGGCTAGGTGGTGGTAAGATCGAGATGACTAGGATGGAATCTTTGGGTTCTTGAAGCTTACAATTAAGTAGGTGAAACAGGTAGTAAATATTTAACTTTGATATATGGTTCTGGTTGTATGTTATAAGATAGAAATATGCCCAGAGTACTACAGGTGACCAGCAGCTTGGGATCTGGGAAGACCTTTTGGGGAAAGTAACACTTGAAGTGGAAAGGATTTTCCTGGAAAGAGGAACAGCAGGAGCAAAAGATTAGAGATATGAGTCAGCATGGACTGAATCATTCATTAATTACTACAACAAATGTACGTGTAACACCCACTAATTGTTAAGTAATGTACTAGGAACTAGGCAGGCTATACCCAGCATAGATAGTAAGTTATGATTTCCATAACCAAGGAGATTATAATCTAGTACAGTAGATAAGGCATGCACCTGAATAGCTAAAATGCAAATCAGAATTTCTGTTAGAGCTCTTCAAGCCAAGTTTCATGGGAGTTCAGGAGAGGGAGCGGTTGTTTGACTCTGGTGGTCTGATCAGGAGGAGGTGTTACTCAAGCTAGGATATGAAGGATGGGAAATTTCACCAGGTAGACAGAACAGGGGAGCAGAAGATGAAGAAGATACATCAGACAGAAGGACAAAACTAAGGGATGGAAATAGAGAACTTGGGTTTAATCTAATTTGACAGAAGAATGACCTTTTCCTCTGGGCTGTGAGTGCTCTTACCATTATCTGTTATTCTCCTGTTCTATTCTCCACATGGTTGTTGTTTCCCCAGGGTAGGCATATCTGTGGATACCATGTGTCCAGCGAGCTGGGTCAGCCAAGTCCATCTGGTGCCAGACTATAATGCCCTTATGGGAAAGGATATGTGCTCTGCAAATACATTGGTTTCTCTGTACCTATAGCGTGTTTTTATTTTGTTTTTCCGATTTCCCATTTATTTTCCGAGGAAACTTCCTTCTATAAAGAATGAGTGAAAGAACCTATCCATAGCTGAGCCAACAGTTGGGAGAGGATCCTTTGGTAGTGATCAGTATTCCAACTAAAGAATGAAGGCTGGGGATGAAATGGGGGGATGGAATGAGGGCACACAAAAATTCAAACACTTTTCTTCTGAATTTTCTTTGCTCACCTAGTCAGTTTGTTTTCCATGAGTTGAGTGCCCATAGAGACAATACTATTTCTACAAATAAAATAGCCTGCAGCCTAATTATCCATAGGACTTGTTTGAAATGCAGGTTTCTGGGACCCATGTTAGTCTTGCTATGTTGAAATCACTAGAAATGGGGCCCAAGTACTTTCATTTTTTTTTGGTGCTTTTTTCCCATTTATTAAAAAAATCAATTGTATTGAGTTACAACTTAAATGTAATAATATGCATCCACTTTGAATGCATGGTTTAAAGAGTTTTGCCAAATACATATACCCATGTGATCCAAATTTCCATCTCTATAAAAAGTAACCTCATGCCCCTTGCAGTCCAGTTGTTTTTAGCCTCAGCCTCAGTCCACCATTGATCTACTTTTTGTCAAGATAAATTAGTTTTGCCTCTTCTAGAATTTCTTATAAATGGCAATCATAAAATATATACTCTTTTGTGTATTTTTTTGCTCAGCATAATGCTTTTGAGATTCATCTATTATGATATCAATAGTGTGTTCTTTTTTATTTCTGAGTAGTCTTGTGTGGTATGGATAAAACCCATAATTTACCCATTCACCTAAATGTGGACATTTTGGTTGTTTCTAGGTATTGGTTATTTTGAATAAAGTTGCTGTGGATGAGCATAACGGACAAGTCTTTGTGTGGACCTATTGGGGGGAGGAACTCTGGAATTGGAATTGCTGAGTCATATACTAAATATATATTTAACATAATAAGAAACTCTCAAATTGTTTCCCAAAGTGGTTGTACTATTTTTTATCTTCACCAGCAGTGTATGAGAGGTTCAGGTGTTTTTACATCCTCACTAACACTTGGTATTTTTAGGCTTTTTAAATTTTATCACTCTGAGTGGGTAGTAGTATATTAATATGGCTTTCCCAAATATTTTTCGGTTGACTAACACTGCTGAGCATCTTCTCACGTGCTGTTGGCCATTTACCTGTTTTCTCTGCCCACCCTTTCTATTGAATTGTTTCTCTTATCTATTGATTGTAAGAGTTCTCTATATATTCTGGAAAGCAGTCTTGGTCAGATGCATATATTACAAATATTTTCTCTAGTCAGTGGCTTGCCTTTTCACTTTCTTACCATTGTCTTTTGAAGAGCAAAGGTTTTTATTTTGTTAAAGAAAACCTTATCACTTTTTTTCTTTTCCTAGCTCATCCTTTTTGCGTCCTATCTAAAAATTCCTTGCCTATCTCAAAGTCAATAACATGTCCTCCTGTGTTTTCTTCTGGAAGTTTTACCATTTTTGTTTTTATGTTTAGATCTGTGATCTATTTTAGATTAATTTTTGTATTTGGTATGAAGAGTCAAAGTTCATTTTTTTCCTTAAACATTTGACAGAATTCATCACTGAAGCCATTCCAACCTGGAGGTTTCTTTGTGAAAAGATATTTAACTACAAATTCAAGTTCTTTAATAGATAGGGGGTTTTTCATCCATTCTATTTCTTTGTGTATCCATTTTGGTAATTTGTGTCTCTGGTAGGCAGAATGATCACCCCAAGATATCTGTTTTAGTCTCTAAAACCTGTGAATGTGCTTCCTTACATGGCAAAAGCAACTTTAAATATGTGATCAAGTTAAGGATATATATTTTTAAGATTTTATTTATTTATCTGAGAGAGAGAGAGAGAGAGAGAGAGCATGGGAGGGAGGAATGTCAGAGGGGAAGCAGACTCCCCATGGAGCTGAGAGCGAGATGCAGGACTCCATCCCAGGACTCCAGGATCATGACCTGAGTTGAAGGCAGTTGCCCAACCAAATGAGCCACCCAGGTGCCCTAAGTTAAGGATCTTGAAATAGAGAGTATCCTGGATTATCTGGATGGGACCAATGTAATCATAAGAGCCTTTGTAATGGGGATGTGAGAGTGTCAGAAGATGTGACAACAGAAGCAGAGGTCAGAATGAAGCAATTGCTATCTGGGAAGCAAAATTCAGAAAATGCAGGTGGCATATAGAAAGTAGAAAAAGGAAGGAAACAGATTCTCCTCCAGAGCCTCCAGAAGAAATGCAGTCCCACCAATACCTTGATTTTAGCCAGGTGAAATGCATTTTGGACTTCTGGCTTCTGGAACTGTAAGATAATGAATTGTGTTGTTTCAAGTCAGTATGTGTGTCGTAATCTAATAATGCATCCATTTCATCTGAGTTGCCAAACTTTTTGGCATGAAGTTGTTTATAATATGTTCCTATTAGCCTTTTAATGTCTGTAGGCTGTGTAGTGATGTCTCCTCTTTCATTCCTGATATTGGTAATTTGGGTGTTTTTAAAACTCAGTCTGGCTAAATATTTATCCATTTTTATATTTTCATATAACTAGTTTTTAGTGTCATTGATTTTTCTCTGTTGTTTGTCCGTTTGCTATTTCATTGATTTGCTCTCTTATCTTTCTTTTTTTTCTACCTACTTTTGTTTCCATTTGCTTTTTTAAAACTAGCTTCTTAAGATAGAAGCTTAGACTATTGACCTTGAAACTTACTCCTTGTTTAGTATAAGTACTTAAAGCTCTGAAGTTCCCACCAAGCACTATTTTATCTG